ATCTCCTGGCCCAGTAAAGGGGCAGGAGCCAGAGGAGTGGGGGAGGAGGAGATGGCCTAAAGCAGGCAGGGCCGGGCAGGGCTGGGCCAGGCTGGGCCAGAGCCAGGGGGCCTCTCTGTGCCTTGTGCTGGGGCTTCCCTCTCCACCCAGAGTACAGAGGGAACAGGGGGAAGGAGCTGAGATTCAGGCCCTCCTCTCCCCTTCCCCCACTCTGAAAGCTCTGCCTGGCACAGAGGCTCACAGGCAGGGCAGCTCCAGTTACAGCCCAGAAACCCAGAGAGGCTGGCCTGGGGGAGGATCACGTGGGCGATGGGAGCCTTCTCTGCCCCGCCTCCCCCACTCTCCTCCCCAGGCTGCAACCCAACCCGTCCTGTGCCTGCTGCCCTCCTCGCAGCTTCTGACCACCAGGCAGGGCCCTCCAGGTCACCTGCCTGCCTGCCGTGGAGAAGGGGCCCTCCATCTTCCTCCCTGGCCTAACCCTGCTTCTTGGTGGTATTAGCAGGTGGTGTTTCCATCTGGTTCTCCTGGGGCTACAGAGATGTCTGTGCTCTGGGGGCCTAGACAGCTTGGCCTCATGCCCTCTTGGAAGGAAGTAGAGCCTGGCTCTGAGCAGGAAGAGGCTGTCCCAAGGTCTTGTGGCAAGTTTGAGATACAAACTTAGACACCCCTCCCTGCTGCCAACACGCTGTGGACCTGGGTGGGCTCACCCATACTCTGCTCCTCCCTCTCTCTCTCTCTGTGTGTGTTATCATCAGGTGAGAAGATGGAGCTAAAGGGTGATCTTTGTGTGCTGAAACCTGCTCAGGAAGGGATGCCTGGGGCAAGTCACCCCTGTGCTGCTCTGAGCATGGAGCCAGGGGCTGGGGCTGGGGATTTGGGGGGAATCTGTGCCTGGCAGACTGGGGCCTGGGTTCCCTGGCACCTCACTGCCTTTTTCTTAGAGATCCCATGTGTGTGCTGAGCCAGCCCCTAGCAGAGGCCCCTGGGGAGGCCGCTAGACAGACATCCAGGGGCTGCCCGGGCGAGTGGCAGCCTGAGGCTTCCAATGTGATTAATCTCCAAAAGAAGTAAGAAAAGGCATGGTGAGCCCTAAGGCTCTTTCATGGTGTTGGCTGCGGTGCTCCACGCTGCACAGGAAACATTTGCAGGCTGGCTTGGGGGAGCTGGGCCCTGTTGTAAGGTCTGTGGGCTGGTCCCACCTCTCTGGTGCAGGCGGCCTGGAGACCTGTGTGGAGGAGGCAGCAGCAGGTGTGGCACCTGAGGGTTTTCCCAGCCACATGAGGAGTTCTGGGAGCCAGTCTGAAAGGCGGCTGAGGTGCTCTGGACCACTGTGAATGGGGTACCAAGTGGCCCTTAGAGCTGAAGTTCATTTTTTTTTTATTGAGATGTAACTCATATCCTGTAAATTCACTTAGTTGAAGAATACAGTTCAGTGGTTTTTAGTACATCCACAATACCGCTATCTAATTCCAGGACATTTTCATCACCCCAGAAACCTCATATTCCATCCCCTCCTTCCTCAGCCCCTGGCAACCACTAATCCACTGTCTGTTTCCGTGGATTTGTCTGTTCTGGACATTTCATATGAATGGAATCATACACTATGTGGCCTTTTGCATCTGGCTTTTTTCACTGAGCATACTGTTTTCAAGATTCATCCGCCTTTGCAGCATGAATCATTGCCTCATTTGCTTTTGTGACTAAATAATGTCTGACTGGATGGACATATGGCCATTTCTTTCATCCATTTATCTGTTGATAGACACTTGGGTTGTTTTCATCTTTTGGCTGTTGTGAATAATGCTCCTGTGAACATTGGTGTACAAGTTTTTTGTTTTTTGTGTTTTGGGTCTTTCTTGTGGATGTATATCTTCAGTTTTTCTGGGTATATATTCATAGAAGTGGAATTATTGGATCATATAGTAATGCTGTGTTTAACATTTTGAGGAGCCATCAAACTGTTTTGCACAGCATCATTTTACATTCCCACCAGTAATGCGTGAGGGTTCCAATTTCTCCACATCCTCACCAATGCTTGTTAATTCTCTGGTTCAAGAAAAATCTTTTTTTTTTTTTTTTTTAAATTCTAGCCACCCTAGTAGATGTGAGGTGGTGTCTCATTGTAGTTTTAATTTGCATTTCCCTGATCACTGGTGATACTGAGCATCTTTTCACATACATATTAACTATTTGTTATGTTTTCTTTTGGGGAAATGTCTGTTCAGTTCCTGTGCCCAAGTTTTGGCTCAGTTGTTTGTCTTTTTCTTGAGTTGTAAGGGCGCTTCAAATGTTCTGGCTCTGTTCTTGGACTGAGGAGAGGACCTATTTTCTCGACCTGTGAGTCGGCATGCTGTCTCTCGCCCTTGCATGCAGGGGCTGCACCCAAGGGTCTTCCCAGCAGATCTTCCTCCTGCTTGGCCCCCCGTGGCCTGCGTGGGGGCCAGGGTGCAGGTGGCTGTCCATTTGCTGGAGCCTGGTCTGGGGACTGGGGCTGGCTGGGGGCCCTGGCACTGAACTCAGGTGCTGCCCTTGAGGGGCTGCTGTCATGGGGTAGGGATGGGGTGTGGGGTCAGGGAGGGCAGGGTGGCACCCCCTCTGCTTCTCTGAATACTGAGCCTGTGGCCCAGCTAGAGGTCCTGTGTGGCCCTCTAGGAGAGATCAGCCTTTCACAGCGAGGCTGGGGTGACTCAGAGTCCGCCTGGGCTAGGGAGGGGATGGCAGAGCGGGAGGTGTCCCAGGTGATTCTCCGGCCAGGGCTGGTGGTGCTGAGCTAGGCAGGCAGGAGTCTGGGGAGTCAGATGGGTTTGGGCCACAGTCCGGGCAGGGGCTGCCCGCAGAGACCCGCCTCAGGACAGGCATGCCTGAAGCAGTCCTGCAAGCCCTCGGATCTGGCGTTTGGCATTTGGGGGAGAGGCTGTGGGGAGCAAGAGTGTGCTTCAGAGGGTAAGGAAAGGGGGCACTTGCACGGGGAGCTGGCGGGGAGGGAGAGCCCAGGCAACGGGGCCTTTTCCACAGTGTCCAGGGCAGCCGAGGGGCTGGCAGGGAGGTTGCTGAGGCCCCTTGGTACTGGCCCTGTGGGTGAGACCTCAAAGTAGCAGGTGACAGGGGACACAGAGCATGGCCAGTAGGCTGAGGAGAAGGTGCCTGGGGTTGGCGGAGGGAGCTCCAGGGACAGGAGAGGATAGAGGGGTGGTATGTGGTGGGGCCTGGGCTTCCTGTCTGCAAAGGAGGGGTGATTCTTCCTGGACTCATGGTCCAGGACCTCTGTGGCCAACAGAGGGACCGAGGTGTCCCAGTTGCCCGGTGCATGAGTCTGGGGCAGACATGGGGAGGCAGGTGGAAAGAGAAGGCGGGGGAGGCAGAGGAGATCCCTTGAGGGGCTGGCTGTCCCTTGCATCTCTAGTCTCCAGAGGCCCTCCGGCCTCCCTCCCCTCTCCTGGCTAGTCTTTTCTTTGGGGCTTTGGACCCCCAACCTGTTAGCAGTTGCCTGTGCCACATCCCCTTCCACAGACTCCTGGGGAGGGTCCTTGCCCTGCCCCTCCCTGCCATAATACAAAGACCAGGTAGGGGCAGGTGGCAGCATCAGGCCAGGACTGGGCCTCTGGGCTGGGAACCTCATGGGCACAGGCGGTGGAGGCCGGAGGCCTCATGGTGGGGCCTGAGGTGAGGAGGAAGCCGCCGCCATCTGGCTCTCCTCAGCTGTGTGAGCAGATGTTCTGCCACAGCCGGCGGCCGTCTGGACGGGAGGACAGCTGGCCTAATCTCACCCCGGTCCTTGCCACTGTGGTCTGGGACCCGACTCCAGGGCGAGGGCACTAGCGCGGTCCTGCCCAGGCTCCAGGGTGGCCCCATGCTGAGGGTGGCACCCACCACCCGCCTCAGGGGCCTTGTGATAGCTGGGACAATGGAAGCGTGTAGGTATTTCTTCTCCTGGAAAAGAATGCATGCACACGATTCCTCCCCGGGGTGGGGGGGGGGCGGGGAGGCTCTGGATTCGGGGAGGAGCGATGAGCTGATAAGTTTGGCTTTCCTGGCTGCAGAAAAATGACACCTGTCAGCAGGGCCGGCACTCAGCCCCCTTAATCCCAGCCTGGGGGGGGGGACGGCCTGGCTCCCTTTGTGTATTGTCCCAGCAGTGGGAGTGCCCTTGCGGTACCCACCCTGGCTCAGCAAGCTGTGGGAGGTTTCAGAGGAGGCGCAGTTGTCTGGCAAGTGGGTGAGGCCAGGCCCCCGCTTGGAAGCTGGCCTCTGGTGGGTGAGTAGCAGGGCCACTGTCCTCGTGGGCCTACCCGTCCTCCAGGGTCTGCCTCTGCTATTGCCTCTTCCAGGAAGCCCAAGGGTAGCCCAGCAGCATCGCTCTTTACCGGTAGCTCAGCTCTGGGGAGCCCCCGAGGGTCCCTCGTCGGGTCTTCCCCAAACCGCTCTGGGGCTCGTACTCCTGAGGCCTCTGGAGGATCCAGTCTCCCCTCTGCTTCCTGACTTTGCAGCAGGAGCCTGGTGTGGGGTCCGAGGTGCCCGTTCACCAGGTGGGCTGGCCCCCTGCCCACCCCTGGCCCTGACCTCCACCGTGATGTACTCAACACTTGCTGGCTGGGCCACACCACCTTCCAGTGCACAGATGGTGGCCGGGTGCAGCCGACCTGCTGCTTTGGGGGCACTGCTGCTGTGGGTGCCGTGCAGAGGACAGAGGGCTTCACTGGAGCTCCTGGGGGCAGCTGTGAGGCGGGGCAAGGACCCCATCGGGTAAGGGTTGGGGAGGTGGGGGCAGGTGCCTGGCCGTGCCGCTTAGCAGGTCTGAGCTGGCATCAGGGGTGGGACTTGGTAGCGTGGGCTGGGTGATGACCAGCCTGTTTTCCTGCAGGGGCTGATCATTAAGGGACATCTGCAGGCTAGACCGGGTGGCAGGTGGCTGTGCCAGGGCTTCTGGAGGAGGGCAGCCCCACACTGGGCAGTGTCGACCTGGGTGGTGTGCTGGCTGCCTGGCTCCGTGACCCGCGGGCATGGCCCGCCAACCTCCCCTGCCCCTCCCAGCGAGGTTCCTGGCTGGCCTGGTGCCTCTGGCCGCAGGAGGAAACCCGGCCGCCCAGCTGGCAGGCCCTGTACCTCGAGGCCGGCAGCCGGACGAGGGAATGGAAAAAGGCAAGCCTCAAGCTGTGTTTGTTTTTCTTAGCGATACCTGAGGTAGACGTGGCCAGGGAAGTGGTCTGGCCCGAGAGCAGAGACTGCCAGGGGCTCCCAGACCAGAGCACATCAGAGCTGGCTGCCTCCTGGACAGAGGGAGCAGCAGGGGCTGCCCCGGGCCACCCCAGGGTGGGCTGTTGATTGGGGCTATCCCAGTGTCCCCCATCTGTGTCAGGCACAGTGCTGGGCACCCTGCAGGCCAGCTCCAGGAAGCAAACTGCTCGTCGACATGATGCTGGTAGTCATGAGAGGGGGCTCTGTGGCTTTCCAAGCACCTGCCCTGTTTCCCGCCTGTCCTTCCTTGTGGTGGGTCTGTGGCCATCTGTGAGGCCTGGGGGTGTGGTGACTAGGGCACAGGGGCGGCCTGGCCACTCTGGTTCCTCCGTGAAGCCACTGCTGCCCATCTTCTCCTCAACAGCAGCCAGTGAACCTGGGGGTCCCCTGCATCTTCCACCACACTCCTGGGGCCCGTTGGCCTGCCATTCTCTGATCTTGGCTCCACCATCCTGCACTGGAAAGGGGGCACTTGGCTGGTGGCCCTCAGGGTCTGGGGTTCCCATGGGTTCTGCTTGCTTCAGGGGCCAGTGTGGATGGGCACAATTCTGTTAGTCTTGTGGATGCCAGGCCTGGTGGGCAGTGCTGTGAGTTCCAGTGTAGAGGATTTTGCAGAGTCCTGTGTCTGCCAGCTGACTCCCAGGGTGGCCAGGCCCGGGCCAGACGATGCCTTGAGGAGCCGGCCAGTGATGGAGCTGATGGTTGATCAAGAGCGCTTCACGCTCTGCAATGTTGGGGCCCTGTGAGGTAGGAAAGTTGGGGCCTGGCAGTTCTCACAGCTGTCCGAGGTGACAGCCGCAGTGTGACCTGTGAACGGGGGACTGCCCTCTTGCCCTGCTCACCCCCGTCCCTTTGCCTCACCTCCTCCTTGGTGAGGTGATGGTGGAGCCCGGGCTCTGGCAGTGCCTGCGCCCACCCTACACTCACGCCCACCTCCCGCACGGGAGGCTGTAGGCCCGGGAGGATGGAAGGTTATCTCAGAGTCAGTTTCTTAGCACTGGAATTTGTTTTGAATTTGATTCACACAGAAATTAAATGCTGTCCGGCGGGGATGCGGTTTCCTTGGCAGGGCACTGTGGCTTCTGGAACACTGTCCTTTTTTGCTTCTGCCCAGCCCAGGGTCTCTGCTCCCTGTGTCTGGGGAGCAGGGTTTGGGGTGGCTGGGCCTGTTGGCAGGAGGAAGGGCCACTGGAATCTGTCCCCACCCCCCCAACTATTTGCAGGATGGAGTGAGGCATTCCAGGGGCTTCGTAGTGTGGGACAGTGACGGTCCCATGTCCGGCGTGGGCCACACCTGCACCCACCCTCATCCAGCAGTGCCCATCCTGCTACCTGGCTGTCCTCGGGGGGCAGGTGTGAGGATGTGCGACTGCCTAGGTGCTCAGAGGGGCTGCCCTACTAGTCCCCAAGCAGTCAGGCATGATAACCTCAGGCCTGGCCCACAGAGGGGGTTAGGCGTCCCTAGACCCAGCTCTGTCTGTCCTGGGATCTTTCCTGCCCCCCCAGGGCTGGCAGGTGGTCTCTGTAGAGCTGCTGCAGGCTGGTCAGGGGGGCAAGCCCTCAGAAGTGTGGGACCTGATCCAGTCTAGTCTCAAGATCCTTACCTTGATTACATCTACAAAGACCCTTTTCCCAAATAAGGCATACTCTGAGGTTCTATGTGGGTGTGAACTTTGGGGGACCTTTATCTTTTACTTCAGATGGTTCCTGCAAACAGTTTCTCAAATATGGTGACCAGCATATGGTCAGAGATAATATGGTGTGTGTGGAAAGGTTCCAAGAACTTGCAGAAATGACGGCAGCAGACCAGTAAACAGACCATCCCACGCTGAACAGAACAGTTCTGTGTTTTCATGAGCAAGATAAGCGAGGGGTATCTGTAAGGAATGAGAAGCCGCAAAAACTGACCCAGCAAGTTTGGAAAAACCAAGCAGAACTAGGGAAAAAATTAAGTAATAGACTGATTTGAAAGCAGATTAGAACCAGTTGAAGAGAATTAGCAAACTGTAAGATAGGTCAAGAGAAATTATTGAGAGTATAGCACGGGAAGGCAGACACACAGGAAACAGAGGGTGAGAAACCTGGGGACCCTGGGAGGTGGTCCCTTGTACTCCACCGGAGGCCTAGAGCTAGAAGACAGGGGTGATGTCTGGCAAGGATGGCTGAAAATTTTCTGAAGCTGATCAGAGCAATCAAGAAGATTCAAGAGGCCCAGTGTCTTTCATGCCGGGACATAACAGATTGCAACCGCAAAACACCAAAGACAAAGAATCCTAAAAGCAATCCAAGAAAACAAAATACAGATCACCTTCCAAGGATCGTCTCAGGCTGACAGCTAAGTTTAGAACTGAGAAGGAAGCCAGAAAACGGTGGGACCATCCATGTGGTGCGTGAAAGAAAAATAACTGCCTGCCAGGAACTCTACGACTGGGGAAGGTTACTCTAAATGAGGGCGAAATAAAGACATTTCAGACAGACCGAGAGTTGCTCTGAAGGAAATGTTGACACTGCAGCTCAGGCATGGGAAACGGCCCTGCTGCGTTCCAGACGCAGAAAGGAATGAAGAGCAAAGAGAAGCTCCCAGCATCACACAACTTCCTGTTGGGTCCTGGGTGTAGAACAAAAATATGCAACAGCAGATCATTCAGGGGAGTCAACAGGACTGTGTTCTCAGGCCTCATATTACCCAGAAGGGGATGGTGTTGACCAACGTTGGACACGGGTAATTTACAGACTCATGGTGTAATTTTGAGGGTAGCCATGCAACTCATGGAAAGATAAGACTTCAGATTAATAAGAGGAAAACCAGAATCATAATAATAACCCAAAAAGAGGCAGGAGAGGAGAAAAGAAAAAAGAAACAGAAGAGGCATGGCCAGCAGAAAGGATAAACAGGAGCCCCAGGATCCCAGTGGATGAAATGCCTCAAGTAGAAGACTGAGGTGTTTGGGGTCGTAGTCAGGTCCTTAGACTAATTCTAGGCCCTGTGTGGGAGAGGCACAGAGGAAGTGTAAGGACAGAGAACATGAGAGGGTGGTGAGAGAACACACCAGCTCCATGGGACATGAGGCCAGGAGGGAGCTGAGAGTGGAGAGGGAAGGAGGCACTGTGACTCAGGCTCAGTCCAGTGACCTAATGCTGTGACTCAGGCTCAGTACAGCAATCTGACCTGTGACTCAGTTTTCGGATAATGACCTGAGGTTGGGTCAGGCTCAATCTGGTGACCTGAGGGTGTGACTCAGGCTCCGCCTGGTGACTTAAAGCTGCAGCTTTAGACTGAAGCAGCCACCAAGGGAGCCTCGATGTTTTAGAAGTGGAGAGGCACTTGAAAGCACTCAGCAAGTGTCCAGCAGAGAAGTGAGGAGAAGAAGAGGAAGTCAAGCCCAAGGAAGGCAGGAAGAAGAAAGGAGAAGTTGTGCAGAAATTGACAACGTAAACCAACGTGCATTCGAGATGAACAGATCCCTCTCTGGGAAGAAGGTCCTTGGAAAATCTGAGAAGACTTACCCAGTGAAGGGGAGGCTCAGAGTGCTAGTGTCCTGTTATGGGGATCATCATAGATTCTGCAAAGAAAAGCAAGGGGATGTAATGGACACTTCCATGCTGATAAACCTGAAAATTCAGGGAAAAAAAAATGGAAAAGTAACAGAAAAAGATTCAAGATACAGAAATATTGACGAATACTATAGGAAGCAAAGAAATTGGGTCATTGAGAATGTAAAATGGTGTAGCCACTGTGGGGAAAAAAAAATCTGACAGTTTCCCAGACAATGGAACGTAGAATTCCTCTGTGACCCAGCAGTCCCAGTCCTGGGTGTATACCTGTGAGAAATGAAGACATATGTCCACAAAAAAGCATGTACGTGAATGGTCAAAGTGGCATCGTGCACAACAGCTGAAGTGTGAACACCTCAGGTGTCCATCATCTGAGTAGTAAATGGGATGTGGGATGTCCACACCATGGAGTGTCATCTGGAAACAAAAGGGGTGAAGCACTGACACATTTACAACATGGATGGACCCTGAAAACATTGTGGTAAGTGAGGGAAACTACACACAGAAGGCCACACGTTGTATGATTCCATTTATATAAAGTGTCTAGAACAGGCCGATCCTATTGTAGGTAGAAGGTAGATTAGTGGTTGCCGGAAGTTGAGGGAGAGGAATAGGAAACTGATATCTAAGGAGCATCTCATGGGGTTTCTTTCTGAAGCAATGAAAATATCCTAAAATTGACCACGGTGGTGTTCGCACATATCTGCAGATAGACTACAAAACACTGAACTGTTTAGTTTAAACGGACAAATTTTATGGTAGGTAAATTATATCTCAATAAAGCTGTTTAAAAAAAAAAGAAGAAGGGAAACTAGAAATTGGATCAGAAAGGAAATCCTTCGACCAAGGAAAGTTCAGCCTGCGTGGCTTCATGGCAAGTTCCACCAAACAGTCAAGAAGACACAATTCTAATCTGACACAACTCTTCCAGGAAATTAAAAACAGAATAAAGCAAAACTTTCCCTGCAAAGGCACTGAAACTCAGCAGGAGGAACATGGGAGAAGAAAATGACCAGCACGGATGCAGACATCCTAGACAAAACACTGTCAAGTTACATCTAGCAAAATAGAGGAAGGATAAAACCCTCCGTGGCCAGCTGGGTTTAGTCCCGGTTCATTCCAGGAATGTTTAATGTGTAACATTGGAAAAATCAGTAAGTGAAATTCCTTAATTTAGCAGGTTAAAAGAGAAAAACTAACCACACATCAAAAGATGCGGGGATGACATGAGATGACATTCAACATCTAGTTGTAATTTTTAAAACACTCATAGCAAACTAAAAGCAGAAGGGAACTTCTTTAACTTGATGCAGGGTGTCCAGAAAAACGCAGAGCAGACCTCCTGGCTTAGTGGTGAAACGGCAGAGACTTCCC